GCTCTATTTATAAGAGACCAAATATCCTAATTCTTATAGGAAAACAATATTGTAATCCTTATAAGTCAACAATATCCTACTCCCAGTAGGAATTGGTAATAGTGTTGAAAAATGTCTTTCTTAATAAGATATAGGTTTCCTGTTTTGGCTCCATAATCCCAACACACCTCTCTCACCCACTCTTCCTTTATAAGAAAAAGAGCCACACTAACGAAGGTAAGTTGATTTTTCCTACACAACCATATGTGAGATTTGACACACACTCTTAAGCAAACTCTAACCCTCAAGGTTACTAATCTTCTACTCTATTTGCTCCATACTCATTTGCTCCTAACTTGAGTTATAGCTTAATTAAAGCATCATACCACATTCGGGAGAGCACCATAAGTGTTGGATTTCTACATACAAGTAAGTAGACAGAAGTGTACGTGGCACTTATGCGTCACTCACCGTCGCGCCTACCTAGAAATTAGCATCAACATAATCTATGGTTTAATAGAGAATATTTATTGCTTACATGTATACAACATATTAATTCCGTCTTTGGGATGGACAAGATATCCGAGGCTTGGAGATCGAAGATTTTGCAGGAGAGATATTCTTTCCACGTTGAATTAGTTTGATCGATAGACAAAAACATTGAATTGATTGAAAAAATAATAATAATAATGAGGGTCATGGTCTAAATAATCTCTTGAGCAAAAAAGTTTAAATCTAGTCATAAAATCAAACGGTTAAAAAAGTTCTAACCTAGTAACAAAAACACGCGCTTAAACAACTTAATTAACAACCATTGATCCCACAATAAAAACCAACATACACAAAAAGAAAAAGATAAAAGATAAATGAAAAATTAAAGAAAAGAACGCCCACACCTACTCACAATCTATTAGAAGAAACACCTCAACTATAATAAATTAATTTCACCCTTTATTGAGATTGAAGTCTAGTAGACAAAGCCAAAGCCAATTTGAGTTATATTTTTTATCTACTGAGAAGGTAAAAATTTTAAAATTTTAAAAATATTCGTAAATTTTTTTGTATAATTGTAGAAAAAAGTTTTGTTATATCACAATCTATATTTTTAAAATTTTGTCTTAAAATAAAAAAAATTTTAAAAAAGTGAAAAAAAACTAAAATCAGTAACCTCATCGTACAGACCCAAAAGATTGTTCGGCCTGGAAGAGCCAGACTGACCCAGTCCAAAGAAATGCAGGCCCAATACAACTATGATTTCGGCCTGAATTCGACCGAACTATCACACCTGTAATTCTTGGGCCACGGGCCCGTTAATTACGCTACAAATTGCCTTGCCGACAAAGGAAGGAGAGAGTTGTGAATTCACGCGCACAAAAAACTAACATTATAAAAAAATTAAAAGATCAGTGATCAGTGATTACACACAGGGACATGGCACATGGAAGGTGGGCTTTCCAAGATTTTGACTTCCAAAAGGAAAAAAAATTCAAAATCCAAATCCAAATCAAATTAAATCTCTTTTTAAATAAAAAAATATTAATAATATAAATTCATTTCGATTAAAATACCATTTTATATCTTTAATTTTTTTTATTCTTTTTAGTCCCTATACCATTAAAATATTTATTTTGGCCTCTATGGCTATTATTTTGGTCCATATAGTTTAATTTTATTAATTTTAGTCAATATACTTTCAAAAATATTTAGTTTGGTTCATATATTCTTAACAAAAAAAACCATTTTAGTCGAGAAATTTTACTTTGAGTGTCATTTTTCTATCACAATCTCAACGTTAGGCTACACTTATTAAGATGTAATAAAGATTTTTGTTAAGATTAGAATTTAGGTTAAATTTTATGCAAATAAGGACCAACATGATAATTTTTTTAAAATACAAGACTACAAGCTACAAAACAAATATTTAAAAAATACATGAACTAAAATAAGATCCGAAGTAAATTAAAATAGTATTTTAACGTTTTTTGTTGTTACTCAACTAGAAATACAAGAGATGAGCTAAATTCATATCAGTTTAACCTTTCTTTCTTACCTCTTACATTGTGACACAAGCAAAAGTAAATTATGGTAGAATTAGGGGGCCGGGGCCGGGTGACGGACGACCGTGAAGCCGCCGTCGACGGCCAAGTCGTGGCCGCTGACGTAAGCGGACTCATCAGAGGCAAGGAACAAAACAGCTTCCGCCACGTGTCTAGGCTTCAAAACAATCCCCTTCAAGTTGGCCAGCGCGGCGGAGCTGTCCTCCGCCTCACGCACGGTCATGTTGTAACTGTTACACGTCATCGGCGTGGCAACCCCGTACGGCGAAACGCCGTTG